GAGTAAGGCTGTATGTACGCAGCAGATAGATGGAATTGATACTAATTTATGTCTTGGTCTGATCTGATCCGATCCGATCTCAACCGCGATAACCGGATATCGCGTCTGGCGCTTTTTCAGCAGCACATCTGGGACCTTTTTACCGGGGGAAGGCGAATGGAGAAGCCTGACATCTGCTTGACAGTCAGTACAGGGCAAGTCAACCAAACAAACTACATGATGGACACGTACCGGTCTCGTAACAAGCCACGTACTCATCGTTTTCGTCTTGAATTCCCTTGGCGATTTGGCTCAACCAGTCGTATATCACACTACTAGCAGCCTGATGCACAGGGCCTGCCGTCTTGATGATGATGTTTTGTAGGTTCGCATCATATTCAATGCCGGGCGTCTCGCACACTTCGGTCTCTGACCATTGCTCGAATTTACGAGGTTCAACCTGGGTAATGCAATTCATTCCCCGTTCCTTAGCCATGTCCCTACCCCCCAACTTTGATACACGGCTTCAGGGCTTGCCTGGAGGTTTTCCACGCGAATCCTTCCTGCGAGCGTTCCTCGCAGGGCAAGCACTTTGTCCCGCGTCAGGTCCTTGATGGATCGGACATTGGAAAGAATGTCGTTCACTTCTTGCTGGGGGTCCATGATTGGTGGGTCTTGGAAGCAGAGATTTCGAGTCTTCGATTTCCCCATTCACAAGAGCAGGAGCGTGGGCTTTTATAGCCCTTGATACGAACCGTCGCTTGATCGAGGCCGCGGGAAAAAATCCCGACAGACACACGGCAGAGGCAAGCAAGCCGCCACTGATCTGCAATGCAATAACGTATTTCCCGGCTGTTTCGATCACCCGGTTGCTCCGATCACTAGAATACCCACACAAAATGCGTTTTTTTGTACGCTCATACCACAATGTCTATATTATATCCTGGCCTTTAATTTTAAAATCATATTATATATAGGTATAACTACTTGTAAGAGAAATATAAGGTTAATATTATATATATTGCTTTTTAGATACCTATTTTTTAATTTTACATAAAAATTACACTGTATTTTATATTATTCCAGTAAATAATAGAGTAAACTTATTATTATTAATCAAGTTTAATGTCCATACCGAGCCTTTCGGCTATGACAGACCCCGAATCATGGGCCACAGCCCCTATCCAGTCTCTGAACTCATCTTTGACCATTCTAGACATTTTCCTCGCCCAACCACCTTACTGTGCAGGGCCTTTGGGCATTAAGTATGCCC